AAAAAATGCAAGTAGAAAAATAGGAACCACCTTTGGTGGGAAGGGAACAACGTTCCGTGCGCCTTTGGCGTTGAGTCATGCCGGCCACAGGACCACGGAGACGTCTTCGGACAGCGCTGGCTCTTAGGTTTTGAAACGGAGATGGGCACCGCCCCCTAGAGTCGGAAACGACTAGCACAGATATGCGAGGGGAATTTTTACCTTTACCTTAAGTCTCATGTTTGCAAATGGGACGTGGGATAATTTCGTGTTTGTAATGACCAGGGGATAGAAATCTTTTTTTTAACTGATGATCCTAACATGGCTGAATATCAAAATGTTTGTTATTTAAAAACAAATGTGTGATATTAATGTCATTAACAAACCATGCAACCGGCTTGTTGAAGGGATAAAGCAGAAATACTGCACAGAACAGCGAAGAAATCATTCTGAGTGACGGCTAACCATTTAAACAAAAATAATGCAGATGTGATCTTCCCACTAAGGTTATCTTTGATCAAGGATAAAAGAAATATTTCCAAAAGATCTTGAGCCAGAAGTTTGGTTCTGCACTTGTATAGGACTTTAAGGATTTTTCGTAGATGTTTGCGGAGACAGAATCAATAAATTTTAAGGTTCTCTTTTGTTCTAGAAAGGAAAATGTCTCTTGTCCTTGAACTTTTGAATCTGCGATGGCTTTTTCTGATTAGAAGTCAGCAGAAAAGCAAAGTTTTCCAAAGTACACTCTTCGACTTGCAATTATTCACTTAGTGACCAAAGTTACAATGTCCCTGGAAAACGTGCCTCATGATCCTTTTTCACACTTACAACTGATCAAAATTCAGACGCTTGGCCACTGGCTCATATTTACAACAGTTGCAGTGTCCCCGGGGTCACGTGTTCCCCTTTTATGACCAAGTCCATGGGGAAGCCAGATTCACTTAACAACCGGGTTACCAACTTAACAACTGCAGTTGTTAAGTGTGGCAAGGAAGGTCGTAAACTGGGACCAGCGTCCCTTAACAACGGTCTCGCTTAGCGATGGAAATTTTGGGGCTCAGTTGTGGTCGTAACTCAAGGACTGCTGGGGAAGATACGAATGTGCTGCTTGCGGTTTGTCAGGAACAAAAAAGTTCAAATATTGCAGGGTTTGTGTCCCTGCCCCAGGCTGCGTTTCACCCGTGCATCTCTTGAGTACAGAAATTTCTTTTCTTGCTGTCTAAGAAAATTAAATCTCTTAGCTTTCCTGTGTCCTTTCATTACCACAAGATGTGGCGGTCTTTGGAGCCCCCAATTATCGTGCCATCCATTTAGAGAGGGGGAACTGAACTTGAAAACAATTTAAAAATGCAAAGCTTCCCTTCTCCCACTTAAAAAATAAACCCTATTAAAATAAGACGTAACCTAAGTGAGTTACTCAACCTTATTCCCTTGGTTTTGTTGATCCAAGGCTATTAAAACATCTTCATCAATGATTTGGATGAGGGAATAAATGGGGANCTGGCATATGGCTCTGGCCCCCTCTCTGCCTCCGACACAGAGCCCTCCTCAGAGCCTTCCCCAGACTCCAGGACTGGCCCAGGTTCCTCCCCAACTTCCAGCTTTGATGGCGGGCCACAACCTATAAAGATTCTCCTTATTCCTTAGATATCCTATGGCTTTGGGGAACCTGGCTGATCTAGAGGAACTGGAGCCCACCCCGGGACGTCCTGACCCCCTCTTCATATACCACCAGGTATTTTCCTGCCTCTTTAAGGATTTGGGTGGGTGGGAGCATAAAGTCCCACTTCAGGGTGAGCTTTATTGGTGTCTTACAACTCTCGTAATAAAGTCTACAAATTTGTCTTACTTTGATGAAAACTACATTGTGATTTACCCTATGCCTTTTCTTCAGGGGGCAAGGAAGGGGTCCCCACCCCCCTTTTTTTTTCATTTCCCATCCACCTCCAAGCCCCTTCCCCGTTACGTTACCTGAGCCTCGGTGGCGCAGTGGTTAGAGGGCAGTACTGCAGGCCACTTCTGCTTCCTGCAATTTGGCAGTTCGAATCTCGCCGGGCTCAAGGTCGACTCGGCCTTCCGTCCTTCCGAGGTGGGTCAAATGAGGACCCAGATTGTTGGCAAAAATGCTGACTCTATAAAGCGTTTAGAGAGGGCTGGAAAACACTAATAAGTGGTATATTGCTATATTCCTTCCTTCCTTCCTTTCCTCCCTTCCTTCCCTCCCAATCTCCAAGCATCTGAATTTTTGATCATGGGATTGCTGCGAATGTCGCAACTGTGAAAAACGGTCATCAGTCCTTTTTTTCAGTCCCGTGGTAACTTTGAACGGTCACTAAATGAACTGTTATAAGTCGAGGACGACTTGTGTTTTTGGGAGGGGGGGCAGAGAGGACTCGGGATGATATCTGGTGTGCCATCATATCATGACCCAAAGGGTGAGCCATGAATAAGGGACAATGCCCTTGGTGAATGGATGTAATGATGTGTGTGGATTCCCAGATCCCTCAAATCAAAAGCCCGTGATCTCTGAGGATCTAGAAGGAGATCCTGTGGATTCCCAGGTCCCCAAAATCAAAAGCCTGTAATCTCTTGAGTATCTAGAAGGCAATCTCATGGATTCCCAGATCTCCAAAACCAAAAGCCTGTGATCTCTGAGGATCAAGGATACCTCGTGGATTCCCAGATCTCCAAAATCCAAAGCCGGTGATCTCCGAGGATCTAGAAGATCTTCTGGATTCCCAGATCCCCAAAATCAAAAGCCTGTGGTCTCTGAGGATCAAGGTGATATTGTGGATCCCCAGAACCCCAAATCAATATCCTGTGATCTCTGAAGATCAACGAGATCTTCTGGATTCCCAGATCCCCAAAATCAAAAGCCTATGATCTCTGAGGATCAAGGAGACCTTGTGGGTTCCCAGATCCCCAAATCAAAAGCATGTGATCTCTGAGTATCTAGAAGATCTTCTGGATTTCCAGATCCCCAAAATCAAAATCCTGTGATCTCTGAGGATCTAGAAGGAGATTTCCACTGATTGAAGATCCCTCAAGTCTTCGGCAATGAGGGTGAGGTCTTGTCCTTTGGATTCAGAATCAGAACAGAGCTGAAAGGGACCTTGGAGGTCTTCTAGTCCAGCCCCCTGCTCAAGCAGGAAACCTTACACCATGTCAGACGAAGAGTTGTCCAATCTCCTTTTTAAAAAAGCCTCCAATGATGGAGCAGCAACAACAACTGGTGGCAAGCTGTTCCACCGGCTAATTGCCCTCACCGTTAGGAAGTTTCTCCTCAATTCCCGGTTGCTTCCCTCCTTGGTTAGTTTCCATCCATTGTTTCTCGTTTCTGTCTTCTGGTGCTTCAGGAATTCCTCTAATGAGCCCCCATGCAGCTATCTGGATTTTTAACCCCCCCCCCCTCTTGTCTTCTGCTAGGGGATCAATTCCGCCAAGCAATATTACAACAACGAGCACATTTACCCCTACATCTACCTGGCCAGCTATCACTGCCGTAACAAAAACGTCAAGGAAGCCCTGGAGGCGTGGGCCGACTCCGCCACCGTGATTCAGGAGTGAGTTCCTTTTAATGTCCCCTTTCCTACAGAGAGAAGTCCCACTTGTTATTAATATGTCAACAGAAACTTTTTATTATTATCTTTGACTTTCGTAGCAAGGTTCCTTGTGAGCCTTCGCTTTACTGAGTTTGTCTTTGCATCTTCTGGCTATCTGTGGATACTCAGCCTTATTTATGTGTCCCTCTTTCCAGTTTCTGTGCTTGTCCTTTTTGTCTTTCAGTTTGTCAGAAAGATCTTTGTGCAGCCATGATGGCTTCTTCTTGAATCTCCTGTTTTTCTTTTTCAGTGGCATTGGGTCGGACTGGGCTTTTATGATTGCATTTTTCTCTCTGTGTGTTTTTTTCCCTCTCTGTCTGAAGTTACAACTACTGCCGAGAAGATGAGGAGATTTATAAGGAATTCTTCGACGTGGCCAATGACGTTGTTCCCAATTTACTCAAGGAAGTGGCCAGCCTCGCAGATTCTACTGAAGAGAAGGGAGCTGCCGAAAGAGGAGAGGTCAGTGGCGTAACAACAATAATACTAAATAATCAACCATTGCTATGTGGCCAATTACTGTAGTCCCTGACTTACGACCCCAATGGAGCCCAATGTTTTCGTTGTTAAGCAAGAGAGTGGCTAAGTGAATTTGCCCCATTTTACAACCTCCGTTAAGTGAATCACTGCTGTCATTAAGTGAGTAATGTGGTGGTAAAGTGAACTAGGCGTCCCCATTGACTCTGCTTGTCAGAAGGTCGCATGACCCCAGGACACTGCAACCGTCATAAATATGAGTCAGTTGCTAAGCATCTGAATTTTGATTGTGCGACCGTGGTAATACTGAAACGGTCATAAATGAGAACGATCATAAGTTCTCTTTTTTCAGTGCTGCTGTTGTTCTGAGCGAGGCTTCCCCAGCAGCACGAAGCCAAGTCCTCGCCCCGATAAACCCCTTTTTATTTAATTCACAGTGAATCCCTCTCCAGCAAAGTATTTCCTCTCCCACAGTCTTTCAAGATAGTTCACAATTACCGACTTTTATTGGGCCTGGAGAGTGACCAGGCCAATATCTTTCAGACGCCACAATGCTTGGCAAGAATGGAGGAATGAACTAATTGTCTCCTGCAAACTCCACTCCCCTGTTGCTCCCCTTTTAGTTCCTCTGGGAGGGGCCATTCACTATCCACCTGTGGCCTTCCTCCCAAGTCAGCCCTTGTTCTTTAGCTGTTCCCTTCGTCTGGAAACTCTGCGCATGCGCACACTGGGAACAGGCTCCAGCTGTTCTTCTGCCTCCCTGATGTCTGACTCCGAAGGCAGCTGATAACTAGCATACGGCCATGGCCCCCTCTCTGCCTCCGACACAGAGCCCTCCTCAGAGCCTTCCCCAGACTCCAGGACTGGCCCAGGTTCCTCCCCACCCTCCTCACTGTCCGAGTCTGCTGCTGGTGGGCCACAACAGTTGTAACTTTGAACGGTCTCTAAAGGAACTGTTGTTAATCAAGGGTTACCTTGATGAGCCGAGGTGGCGCAGTGGTTAGGGTGCAGTACTGCAGGCCACTTCAGCTGACTGTTATCTGCAGTTCGGCA